TCCAATGCATAGAGGCTGGGCTCAGCTGGGGACAGGGACAGCAGCAGCAGGGATGTACAGGACAGAGGGAAACTACTTTCCCACTACACTGTTGCTGCTGTTCCCTCCCCAGCTGAGCTCAGCCAGACTGGCACTGGAGCTTCCTCATTCTCAAACAGTGAAGAAAGAAGCAGTGGCAGGCAAGGGAGTTGGGGGTGGGGAGAAGAGGGGGAAGCTTAACTCTGAGCAGGAAGGAGAAGGAAGGGTAAGGAGGGATGGCAGGATTTTCACTTGCTTTAAAAGGACTTAAAAGTCTGCCTGCACTGGTGACAGTAGAAGAGGCTTTAGCGGGTGCAGCCACACCTGTAGTGCAGGTTGCTGCTCCCACACCCTGCTTTAGGAAATCCTGGATTTGCCCCTTCCCTCACCTCTATTGGTCTATCTCATGGTAAAAAAGCAGCCACCACCATAGTCAAGAGTTGCTCCAATAAATATTAGTCTGTGTTTGAGTTAAAGAAAATTTTCTCTTGGTTGCCTCTGGGGTCCAGATTCCTATTAGGAGGAGAGTCATTAGGGAAATTTTGCTTTGAGAAACAAAGAATTAATAGTTACTATTTTGGACAATCAGTCACCTTAGTTAGAATGACCTACCAGATGCCAAAGTGAAGACTTGAGGATGACATAAGTTTCTATGTTTAAAATGTAAATATTGGAAGGCTGTCTTAAATTCACCCCTCCCCACTACTACATAAGGGAAAACAGCTACAAGGGGGAGGGAGATGATCCTGACCCCTTTCTCCCCAACAGCTTGCCCCCTACCCCTCCTACCATTTGCCATTGCCTGCTGCTTGTGCCCCCCAGAACCCCTCCCTGCTGACTGCCCCATGCCTCCCCAGCTTGACTCTCCTCCTCCTCTGACTCTGGCCCCCTGCCCAGCCAGGGAGCAAACAGTTGCAGTGGCAGCAGCCCCGGTTCTGGATCAGAGCTGGGACCAGAGCTGCCCCTACAGCTGCCAGACCGGGCAGGGGCCAGAGCCAGCATGTGTTCTGTACCCTGGGTCAGAGTGGGCCAGAGCTACTGCTAAGAATATGCAGTAAGGATGCAAGGAGGGGAGAGCAAGGCAGAAGTAATGATAGGGTAGGCAGTGCTGCGAAGTATAAAAGTGGTGTGAGACAGAAGCAGCAGGGGGGAGTGGTGGGACAAGCAGCTGCAGCTCTTTCCCCAAGCCCGGGTCAAAGCAAGGGGCAGAGGAACCGCCTGCCCACCCCCCCTCCTTGTACTGAAATCCAAGATGTTGAACGGGGGAAAAAAACCTCATCTTGGATTTGAGTAAGTATGGCATAACACCACCACTTGATAGATTTAGGAAGCATGGTCTTAGGTATCAGTTTCTCCTTGGCAATTGCCCAGATCGCTCATTAATCCTGAGGGGAGGAAAAGAAAATTACTGAAAGTTTCTCATATGGGAGCATCTGTATGTAGATATATCAAGGCTAGCTTCTTTCTTTCTAATGTGTTGAAAGTTCACTCTAAGCAGATGTCCTTCCCTGTGCAATGAAACCATTGGTGTGCTGGTCCATCCTGGTCTACTTTTATCTCTAATTAAAAAAATAGAAAAATAAATGATCTTGCATTCCAGTCAGCATAAATAATGGTTCAGAGTCCCAATGCCACCACAGCAAAGGAAGTAGTTGAGAGTAGCTGGAGACAAGATTCTTTATATGTCCTTTCATAGCTTGGATCCATGAAGAAGAATGTGTGTGTGTAAGACTGTCACTATCTTCTATAGCAAAAACAATTAAGATGTAAGGTTCTTTTAAGAAGAAAATGAATTTGTTCAGTCACTGCAGTTTTGTGTGATGATAACACAAATTTTTGTTTGCTTCCTTTCTTCATGTGCTAGCAAAAAAAGATAAGGTTGAAAAGGGGAGTGCTAGAAAAATTGGAAAACAACAAAATATTCATTCTCATGCAGAGTTTCTACAGCTAGGCTGCTGCTTTAACATTAATGAACTGGTTAAAACTCCACATGGGGCAAGATTTGCCCTACTACCAGGCACAGATTCAGAAGCCCTGATATTTATTGTTCAATGTACTCAGTTTAATTTGCAGGGACTGCTCCTGAACTTATAGTATCGTATTGCTTTACATCTTTTTTATTCTACTTCATCCTCTGACAGAGTTAATATTTCTCCCTGAAACAACTCCTGTAGCTGTTCCACAGATTACAGGTAAGGTGCCAATAATAGGACTCATCATTTTAAAAAATACTTCAAATCCATTGCATTGTTCACTCATTCATTTGAATTAATAAAGATAAGATTCAGCTGAATTTCCTATGTGCTTCCAAAAAGGGAAAAAAATTCTTCACTAACCCCATAACCAGGGATCCTGGTTTAACGTGATAAAAGAATCACAAATTATCTGATAAAAGTGTCGCAAATTCTGATAAAAATCCTAAAATCCGTGATTAAAATTACATGTCCCCCACAGCCTCACTGGTGTCCCTCACTCGCCCCCCACAGCACCCCAGCACCGCTTGTGCCCCTCACCCCCCACCCCCTCTGCTGCAGCAGGAGCACCAGCTGGCTCCCCCTGCTGCCTACCTTCTGTGGGCCCCAGTTGGGCCGGCTCCTGGAGGTAGCATAAACTCCCAGGGGGCCAGAGGGACCCGTGCCCTACCGATTGGTGGGGGGCGTGCTGCAGACTCGTGCTCCCCACCCTGCTGCCTGCCCCCAGGCCCTCTGGAGTGCAATGTGTGCAACCTGGCAGGGCAGTGCACGGGGGGGATGTGCAGGAAAGCTGCTTGCCGCTGCAAGCTCCGTGCTGCTCTGGCCACGCTTTTCCTGTATGGGCTCACTGTGCCCTGCTGTGCCAGTCTCACATGCTGCACTCTGAAGGGCCTGGGGGAGGGCAGCAGGGCAGGGAGCGCAGCGTTTGTGACCCAGGGTTTGCAGTCGGCCAGGCACTCTGGCCAGGAGAAAGTGTGTGCGAGTGTGTGTGTGGAGGGGGGTTGCAGCCTCCCTGCTCCCGGCCAGAGTGCCCAGCCGGCTGCAAACCCTCCCTCCCAGCCGAAGAGCGCCCAAGCTGGCTGAGGACTGAGGGAGCTGGGGGCTTGCAGCCAGCCGGGCACTCCAGCCAGGAGTGGGGATACTGTAAACCCCGCCGCCCCTCCCGGCCAGAGTGCCCGGCTGGCTGCAAACCTCCCCATTCCCTCAGCCCTTAGCCAGCTTGGGTACTCTGGCCGGAAGTGGGGGAGGTCTGCAGCCCCCCAGGCACTCTGGCCAGGAGCGGGAAGGCTAGAAATCACCTCCCGGCCGGAGAGCCCAGCTAGCTGCAAACCTCCCTGCTCCCTCGGCCCCCAACCAGCTTCCCCCACAGCCCTGCCCCACAAGCCCCAAGCCCCACTTAACTCCAGCAAGAAGAGTGAGCCTGAAGCAGTCTCAATTAAGTGTGAGCGTCAGGCCTGACCTTTCCCCATCTCCCTTCCCCTCCCAGCAGGGTTGATGGTTTTCCCGCCCCTTTTGCAAACAGCTCTTGCAGGCTGGAACTCTACCCACCTGCAGAGCTCTTTGCAAAAGAGGGAATCTGCAGGTTTTTCTTCAAAAAGGGAAAATCCACATTTTCTCTGATAAAAATGGGAAATTCGTGGTTTTCTCTGTTTTTCTATGGGAAACGGAAAACCAAGATCTCTGCCCACAACACACAAAACTACTAAGAATTTGAGAAATCAGATTTGCCACTTCTGCAACATATCAATTCGACAATATGTTTCCTGCTTCAGTTACCATATTCTTTCCAAACTGCAGGTAAGCCTGTGGACTGTTTATAGGTAATGTAGAAAACAATCAAATGTCTAGAAACACAGGACTCCCCTCTCATCAGTTTACATTCTTCAGGCTAAGAAATGATAGCAAAGCTACACTAGAAGAGTAGAGTATAGCATTTAGCGAGATGTCTTCTCTCCAGCCAAATACAGATTAAAATCTGACAGATCCACTCTAATAAAAGAATGTTCATGAAAAATGTTTCTAGAAACAACAAATCTGCTTAAATAAATAAAAGCCTTTAAAACGGGAATGTTACAATTAATATCTATACCATACTTCAGGACAAGAAGCTCAGAGAATTTACATTCTACTGCAAACTTTGCCATAAACTCCCCTGTGATTCAAGGCAATTTACAAGGGGCTTAACTCTCACAGATGGTAAGTACCCTCTTCTTTTGTTGACTCCAGCAAAAGTCAAGGATACTCAGCAACTTTGCAAAAATCAGAAGATTAATCTCTCTGGTTCATAGCCATTTTTCCTAGGCTCTCTTAAAATATAGATCGTACTTACTTACCTAATGATCGGTTAAGGCTAATGCTGATTAATATCTGTACCATACTTTAAGAACACTGGATGATGCTATTTTTAAACAAGTGTAAAACAGCTTTATTAATTCCAAAGTTATCTGCAATAATTATACATGGAAATAAATCCATCAAAAGGTAACAGATTTATAAATATTTGTAATAAGTAAGCGATTACTTAAAAAAAAAAGAAATATGTATAATTTTTTATGATGTGTTTCAATGGTTAAAAATTAGGGAAGTCATTACACAGAACAGGCATATAGCTTGTCCTCATATAGCTTACTCCAGATCCTAATTTATGATACTACTTTTCCAGAAAATTTATTCTGCCATAACAAACAACATTTTATGCTTGTAATTATGAATAATTATCCAACCTACTGTTTTATTCCTCCCCCACTAGCTCCACGTCAAACCTGTTTGCCATTTGAAATTTTCACTTGTGTTGAATGGTCTGTGGAATTATATGGCCATTTCACAAAAGAAATTGGGGATGCCAGTTTTAATATTAAAAGCAAAACTACTACTTTTACTGAAGTTTAGATTAGTAAACATAATTTTTGCTTTTAAAAATTACTAGTTCTAACATTACTATAAAAAACTGCTAAACTTAAAATACCAACCTATTTTTAAGAAATAAAGTTATATCACACTGTTACTTACCTGAAAGAAATGCCATTGACCAGCTGTTTGTGTTTACCAGATTTCGAAGATAGAGGCGAAGATGTGGGAGACAGATTGAACGGTGCAATTAGACTACTGATGATTTCACTCAGCTGAGCACTCTGAAAGACAAAGGAGCCAAACTTTTATCCAGGCTGCACATCTATATAAAGTAGGATTTTTTTGTTTGTTTTTAATTCCTTTATCTCTGATTTAATTTACTCCATGGTGAATAAAAGGCAAGATTTTTGCACATATCAAAGATGCCAATTTTTCTTTACAAATTTTATTTTGAACTTGTGCAGAACCACAATGCAAGAGACAGTTTAAGGTTTTCTTAAAAATGTCTAATTTTTTTAATATTCTTCAGGACACATTTTAACTTTAATGGTAAGGGATAGCAAAAGTAGATAGATACCATAACACTTTGCAAATGATGGTACAGCTGCAGTTCAAGACTTCTACAATGGAGTTTCAAAGATGTCTCAAAAGAAAAAGAGATTGACAGCCTACTTGCATTCATACTTTCTTCTGTTGGCTCATAAAATATTCTCATGTTTAGAAAAATCACATTCATAGATTTCATAGATTTCTATGTTGCTAAATTTGGTTGGAGGCCACTGTTTTAATAATAACCAAGTTGGCTGCAAGCAGAGCAAATGACAACAAAAAAGGATGCCAGGGGTCATAGCAAGCCATACTTTAATTCTTACATATTGATATATTCAAAAACTATGGTAAACCCCACATTATAAAAATACATGACTTTAAGAACTGCCTGAAATGGAGATGCAGTTCATTTGTTAAAACTAAGTGTTCCTTCTGAAGTGTTGAACTGTGGACTGACTCCAGAGAATATTTCACAATGCCATTGTGTTTCAAATGTCAAACCTTAATGGTTATTCTCACATTAAATTTAGCCCCTAGCAGTGCTTAGGGAACACTGGCTACTGAATGATAAATTATGTACATTTAGGATTAGTGGATGCTTCTACACATGTGCTTTACTGGAGAGCATACTAATTAGCTCTGCAGTAAAGTGTCACCGTCTACACATGCACTGGTATTAGGGTGCAGTAAACTGACTCTGCCTTAAGATAGTACTGTTAGTAATGTCTGTCATTTTTAGATGACAAGATCTATTTTTTAATCTCAACTGATTTGAAGGTGTTTTGCGAAGAAATGTGTTGAATACTCTAAGTAATGAGGTAAAAAGGGGACAATCAAAACATTCTAAAAATACCCTTCCATTTACTTGACAGAACTGCCAACATTTTGTATATTTCCTGTTTCATTGTTTCCTTCCCTTGTTGGAAGTGGGAAAGACCAGAAAAATGGAGCAAGTGTTTTAAAAACACAAAAATAATAGTAAAACAACAACAATTTGCCAATGAGACTTAGGTACAGGTGCTTAAACTACTTTGACCTCACTTTTCCTAGATTTACCAGTGATGTGCACTAGGCTGGAATAGTTCAGATGGGAATGATCCCATCTTGAATTGGAGTTTGGACTAGAACAAAATGACTTCTTCAGGACCCCTACAAACTTTTAAATCATTCTACTTTAAGGCAAGATCTATAACTTTTGTCTGCCATTATGTAATTGGCTTAAAACTATTTACATAAATTAGTTAAAGTCTCACTCCACATTATGGTATTAAATTTTGTATGGCTCCTTCAGAAGCCTGTTGCCATGGCAGCTTTGATTATTTTTTTGTGAAAGGAAACCCTTTTACAGTCCATGTAATTTTTCTTGAAAGTCAGCTTCAAAATATATGTAGCACACTTTGAACTCAAATTCTGTTTTTGACTATGCCAATGATATGCTACTAGAAGTCAGAACTTGTAATGTATTTACCTGACAGATCTGGTGAGAATTTTTTTTATGCAAAAAAAATTTTTTTAAACAGAAATGTTATAATCTCTCATTTTATACAAGTATTTCTTGAAACAAAGAATGGCAACAAATTAAACAGAATCCTTATTAAGGGCAAGAAGTTTAATTGGTAACTGTTGGAGGTGTCAGGAAGAAGCTCCTTGTTTATTTCTCTTAAACCAGAAATGGTCACTTTGATTAAATCAAAACAAAAATACAGACAGACCAGTAACAAAAGGTTTGTTGGTAAGCCGAGTGACAAATTTAAAATCTTAAATTTATCAGCATCCACCATCAGGAGTGTTAAAGAGCTGAGCAATTTTTTGAGTAACTGTCATATAACCTGCTCCACTTCTATAATAAATCATTTGGCTTCCATTTGACACTTGGTTCTAATTTTACTTTACCTGTTTTTCTATGTTTCGTAAAAGCAGAGTAGGACTGCTGGGTGACATTTCAAAATCGTGTTCCGGCAAAGAATCCTGTCTCTTAAGAGTAGCTTGAGAATTCCCTGCAGTGTTTAATAAAGCTTCTTGGTCTGTCAATTGTGTTTGCTTCTTCAAAATGCCTTTTGGATGCAGGCATTCTTCTAAGATCACCATCCCCTAGACAACAGCAATTGAACACGGTTGGTTGACAATGCCTTAACCCTCCTAAATCATTTTCAAGTGGCAGTCAACCTTAGAACATACTTCTTAAGCCCTCAGCAACTTGTTGGAACAGTGGGAATGCCAAACATATACAGTATGTAAATAATGCTACATATTGCTTTAGAATAATTTAAATGCATCATTCATAGTTTCCCTCAGCAGCACTGAAATGACACTGTCACAAGACTGTGCCAAAGTTCAAATTAGAAACACATACTTCATTACAGCCTTTTCCTGCTGTTTTAAGAAGTTTCCTCTTCATAAAAAAAAACAAACAAAAATACCACAAAAAACAATCCAGCCATTCCACCCTTTGATTTTCATATATATTCAAAACCTTTACAGCAGAGGTTTATTCTGAAAGTATTGACGTTTTCCCTTCTCCTTTTTCTCCATTACCCAACCAAAATATCAAGGCTCTTCTCCCCCATATATCAATGAAAGAAACAAGAGAGACATCTTTTTTTTTCTTTTTTTTTTTTTGGAATTGTGTTCTCTTGGGTTTGTATTGATTAAGGTAACGAGCCTAAGTCCTTCCTTCTATCATTCTCATGGTTTTCCAAAGCTATCAGAACAAATATACATGTTTTTATAGTTCCTCATCTGTGGGATACATCTATGCAAAACTACGTAGAAAAAACTACACAAAACAGAGCTTTAAGGCACCCAAATGTACTTCCTCAAATGGTGTCACTAAATTATCATTAGCCTGAACTTACATGCTTGATTCTTTTCCATTTGGAGAAAGCCAACAGGAACTTTATATTTGGTTGTGTTAGCTAAGTGTAAACCTGATATCCAGATCTATTGAAATGTTAAATCAGCGATTCTATTAAGAATTGGCACAATGTGATTTTTCAAATTCATTTTCTCCTGTTTTTTCTTTCCAGAGAAAATATTTCTTCCACAACTGAAGAGGACAGAGAACTGGAATGGCATGTAAACTCAAGCAAATAAGCACCCTTTTTTTATAATAATCAAAAGGAAGAAGATCTCCGTTTTTACCAAACCTCCTCCAATGTTTCCCTGGCTGTGCTATCACAGTGTGTGATGCTCACTTTGAATACTGCCTGAGTAGCAACTAAGCCTTGAACCTCAGAATAATCCTATCAGAAGGAAAACTTGGAGACTCAAACATGGAGCAGCCCTAGTCTCCCAGGGCACCTCCAATCTTTACCCTCCATGAGTGAAGCTGCTTCAGTGATTCTACCTACAGTGCCAAAAACAGAAGGCCAGAAGATTAATGAACATTAGCTCAATCTGGTTTCTCTGCATGCACAAGATAGTTATTCAGTGAAAAGGGCCCAGACAGAAGTGTAACTGTCCATTATCACATCATAATCTGTGATTCATGCATCTAGCATTGCAGGAAACTAGTTCTTACAACCAAGGAAAACCAGTGTCTTTGAGTTCTTTAGAATGTGTCGAATGGCCTGCCAGGTCTACTACAAAAAGACCTTGGCTCAGAGAAACAAAGAAAATTCTAATCTCATCAATTATGCTTTGAAAGGCAATCAAGTCTTCTTTCTATACCGTTTTTAATATAATAGATACAGCAAAAGATCTTTATTTGTTCTAAAAGTTATTTATTCATGGGAAAAGACAATCTTCCTCATGACTTCTAGGATATAACATTAATTACTTGTCTTGTGGGCATAACCAAAGACAGCAATCGGGAAATTATTGTACTAGTTGCTGGACAAATAGAGACAACAGCTGCTGAGAAGTTTACAATCTAAGCACAATAATTAGAAGAAGAAAAAAATCATGCTGATAGAGGTAACGGGTCCATTAAAAAAAAAGAAGAAGGTTTCACTGGAGATATATTTATTTAATATATTAAAAGAATTAAGTGGGCAAAAGGGACTGCAACAAAGAAAGGTGTTCATAGAAACAGAGACTAAAGAACAGAAAGGAAGGATGAAAAATATTTAAAAAAGGGAAAAGAGGGATAGGAAAAGAAAAGGATATGACCAGAGAGAAACATGGAGGATAAAAGTAATGCTGCATGCAGCATGGGAAGCTGAACTGGCTGCAGTGCAAAGGCCTGGCATAAGGTATGCTCTTCATACAGCGCCCCAGCAGACCAACGCCATGCACTGGCTCCAGCATAGCCTGATCCAGACTGGCCTTGGAGCCAGCATGTACCCTGGACCAACTCCCTGTGCTATGTAGAGCACATGCAGTGCTGGGTCCAGCCCAGGGCTGATGCATTACCCATATGGCAAGTGGGGTTATTTCAGAGACCTGTGGGTCAGATTAAATGGCTCCACAGGGGGGATCCAGTTTACAGGCCATATGTTTGACACTCCTGCAATAGCGTATGACCCATAAGTCATCAGAATGAAAAAAAAAGTTGTCAGTAATCTTTCTTCCACTTTCCAAAATTGTTAGCTCCAAAGCACTATGCATATGGTGACGTGAAAGGGTGCAACAAGAGTAATTAAAAGTACAGGGCAGCCATAGGAGAATATTACATGGATTTCAAATATTCCATTTATGTAATACGCTGCCATTTACATGGAGGATAGGGAGAAACTCCTTTCAGTCTACTGAGCAAACCAACACTGAGATATTAGCATTTGTGGCTTCCAATGCAGAGGGAATTGGCCAGCCAACAGAATGGAAATGCTAAGAATAGCAAAACATTCCTAAAATGTTATCACAGTTCAGCAACCTTGCCCTTCCTATTTTTTATCTGAATCCTGTACAGAGAGTTTAAATGTAAATAAAACATAAAATATTTAAATGTTAATGAATACGTTAATGTTTAAATGATAATAATAATAATCAGTACTTCACATGTCCAAAGGACCATATAAACATTAAATTATTAGTCCTCAAAATACTTCTATGTGGTAAGTAAAAAACCTGTTTCTCTTTTATAGACAAAAAGTTGTTTTAAGAGAAGTGAAGTGACTTCCTCAAAGCCACAGAAAGTCTATGACATAGCAGGGACTGGAACTCAATAGTCCAAAGCACCCAACCAACCCTGTGTTCCTGCCTTTAGATCGCCATACTTCTAATTTCTGACATGCTCTCAGTAACCTTTACCATTTTTGCAATACTTTTCATACCAGAATTATTAAAAAACAAGAAACAGATACATAAATATTACTGGAGACATTGTCAAAGGATTATTTAGAGAGCCCATTTCTGAGCGCACAGATAATACCTTGGTGGCACGTATCTGCCTGTGAAGGTCAGTGAGTTGTTGGATTTTGTATTCTAGCTCTGAAATCTGGGCTTGAAGCCAAGTCCAGCGGCAGCCAGCTCTAGCTCTGTCTGCAAGCCACTTCCATTCAGAACTACAGTTGCTGTGAAAAAGACGAAATACTGATTAGTCCAAAAATAAAGATAACCACATTTTCACAAAGACATTTTCAACAGCTGCTTTGCCTTCTGTTGCGAGCATGTCAGTTGCCTTTGGAGGACATCTAATTATATCAACATTATCACATCAACTTCTCAGTTCCTCAACTATAGAGCTAGTTCAAGGTTCTTGAACTAACTAGTACATTCAACCTTCAACAGCTATTTCAACTATCCTATAATAAATTGTTTTTCTGCTATATATTCCAAACACAAAGCAAGAGTGATTATTGAATTAGATCAATTAATGCACATTACAGATTTTAAAAGAATTCCAGGAAACCCACTAGTAAGAATGAATATATTTTATTTCTGTTAAGCCATACACTTCCTTCTACAAGACTTCATAAATGTGGTATGACTAACAATTCTGAAATAATGTGTTAATAAATGAGTCAATTATGTTATGCTACTCAAAGGTAAGTATATTGTAAGTTTTATTTTGTTCTACTTTTAGAAATCAATTTTACGAATGTTTCTAGAAATGTGTGACAATTAAACTGAAAACATTCCCCTGGGTTCCCTACTGGTACAATATAAAAGACATCTTTTATTTATTTTATAGAATGGCAAATACCTCTCAAAATGACCTCTTGACATCATTAAGTCAAGTTCATGGCTGGTGTCAAAGAATTTTGCTCAGTGGCTCACATATGGCACTTCACAACTCAAAAATCTATTTTAAGATGCAAATATATTTAAATGAAGGAGGGAACAAAATACAGTATTTTAACATGCAATATTCTATGCAGTACCTTTCCAGAAAAAAAAAAAATAACATGATGAGTTTTTACTCTAGCCGACAAGCAGTTACTTATAGCAACCTTACAAGATGTCTTTCTGGAAGATGTGTTTTACTTAAGTCACTGGGCTCAGTACAGGAGTAACTGAAGAAATTCAATGGCCTGTGTGATAAAGGATATCACTCTAAGGCTGCATCCACATGTGATGTGAATGTTTGGTTCCCTGGGGACAATTAGCAGCAGCGCACCCTGCACCACCCTTAGCTGTCCCCGGGTGACGCCCATGCCACATGCCCTCTGGCACACAGCAAGCTACTCCAGGGGCAATAGGATAAGCTGGGGTCAGCACTGTGCTGGCTTCAGCAGCCTTACCCGGGGTCCTGAGGGTCTTCCGAGGCTGCAGCAGTGGCAATTCTGTCTCGCGAAGCCTGGTCAGCAGCTGCAGGGCAGCTCCAGACAGCCTGGCTCTGCTTTTGAGCAGCACACGCTGTCCATGCATGAGCTGGTACACTTTTTTTCTCTGTGATCCAGGTATCCAGGGGGCAAAAAACCCCTCTACACTGCTCCCCTTGAAGCACAGAGAACTAAACATACGGCATATAGCGCCACGGACATGTCTGCAGTGCCACATAACACACAGCTACATTCGTCTGGATGCAGCCTAAATGATCTAACTACCTTCTAGCTTTAATCCAGGAACAAAATAATTCTGGAGGCAAAACACAAGAGCTATAGTGCCAGAGTGATCCCTGCATGACAACAGAGCAGGCATGCAGGTATCACTAAGGCTTACTGCTTCAATCTTGTGTTTTGTAACTGAACCATATAGTGAAAGAATATTACTATACCACAGAAAAAAACCTGAGCGGCTCTACAGTGAAGACCTAATTTGACACAATTAATGTTTCTAAAATAAAAATTAAGCGGATTTTTAAAAAGGAAAAGGAAAATTAAAAGTTTTGAAAATAACCGTATAGCCAATGTGGTCCCCATCTTTAAAAAAGGGAGGAGGGAGGACCTGGGCAACTATAGGCCCGTCAGTCTTACCTCAATCCTGGGGAAACTCTTTGAGAAGATCATCAAGGAGCACATCTGTGATGGGCTGGCATTGGGGATGTTGCTCAAGGGCAACCAGCACAGTTTCATTAGGGGCAGGTCATGTCAGACCAACCTGATTGCCTTTTAGGATCAGGTCACAAAAGCATTGGATGCAGGTGTCGCCGTGGATGTAGTCTTTCTGGACTTCAGCAAGGCCTTTGACACTGCCTCCCACCCCATCCTCATTAAAAAACTAGGCAACTGTGGCATTGGATGCCTACACAGTCAGATGGATTGCAAATTGGCTGAAGGGTGAGGGTGGCGGTGGACAGGTCATATTCGACCTGGGGGGAAGTGGGCAGTGGAGTCCCCCAGGGCTCGGTCCTTGGGCCCGCACTGTTCAATTTCTTTATCAACCATTTGGACGACAGGGTGAAAAGCAACCTGTTCAAATTTGCTGATGATACCAAAATTTGGGGTAAGGTGGGCACGTTAGCAGGGAGAGAAAGGCTGCAGAAAGACCTGGAAAGGTTGCAGGGGTGGGGTAACAAAAACAGGATGCGTTTCAATATGGACAAGTGCAGGGTGCTGCACTTGGGCAGTAGTAACCAGCAGCACACTTATAAGATGGGAAACTCCCTTCTTGAGAGTATCGTGCATCCACAGGTGCATCTCGAGTAGGGCCAAGGAGGTGATCCTCCCCCTCTACACGACACTGGTCAGGCCACAGCTGGAGTACTGTGTCTAGTTCTGGGCACCCCACTTCAAGAGGGATGTGGACAACATTGAGAGGGTCCAGAGGAGGGCCACCCGCATGATCCGGGGACAGCAGGGCAGACCCTACGATGAAAGGCTACGGGACCTGAGCCTGTTCAGCCTTCACAAGAGAAGGCTGAGGGGGGACCTGGTGACCATCTATAAACCCACTAGGGGGGACCAGAAGGGTTTGGGGGAGACCTTGTTTCCCCTAGTGCCCCCCGGGATAACAAGGAATAACAACCACAAGTTGTTGGAGAGTAGGTTTAGATTAGACATCTGTAAGAACTACTTCACAGTCAGGGCGGCTAGGACCTGGAACCAACTTCCAAGGGAAGTGGTTCTGGCTCCTACCCTGGGGGTCTTTAAGAAGAGGCTTGATGCCTACCTAGCTGGGGTCATTTGAGCCCAGTTTTCCTCCTGCCCAGGCAGGGGGTCGGACTTGAAGATCTACAAGGTCCTTTCCGACCCTACTTCTATGATTCTATGAACTTTCAGGGGAGAGGAGCTGTCATAAAGCAGCAAAGAGTACAGAACTTTATAAACATATTTAAAATATGATTCCTCCACTTTATAAAGAGATTATCTTCTAGCTACTGGCAACATAATTTACATCCATCTTTGACTCCCTCATGCATTGAGAATGAATATATACAACATACAAGAGTCTGAGTCTAAGATACTTAAACTCCTGAAGTCAACATAACCTGCAGCAGCAATCTAGACTTTTTGTGAGCTAATAAAGTAAACGAATTCTTACCACAGATCACCTTACATTAAAATTGAAATGTTACAACCACACAGAAAAACTAACTAGAATACATTCCCTTTCAATTTTATTTATTTTCAGTAGTAGCTTATTTAGCAAAGAGGTTCATGAATGTTCAGACTTTTGATAAATCCTTATTCTCATTTCTCTTTGCTTCACCAGCATATGGAAACCTGGTTTGCTTAATTTTGCTTTAGCTTGTGTCTCATAACAGAAATAATTTTGATTCTATGGACTTTTAAGTACATAGCATTTCCATGTTGTATTTATTAGAAATGACAAAATACAGTGTAAAAGAGGAAAAAAAAGCAGAACACTCTGACTTGTCCCAACAAATCCGAAAAAACTACTTCACAGTCAGGGTGGCTAGGAGCTGGAACCAACTTCCAAGGGAGGTGGTGCTGGCCCCTACCCTGGGGATCTTTAAGAAGAGGCTGGATACTCACCTGGCTGGACTCATTTGAGTCCCGTTTTTTGTTTTTAGGGTGAGTGGTTTTGTTTGTGTTTTTCGGGTTGTTCTCCCGCCCTGGCGGGGGGTCGGGCTAGAAGATCTATTAGGTCCCTTCCGACCCTGAAACTATGAAACTATGAAACTATGAAACAAGTGAAGTAGAACGGTTTGACTAAATAACCGTGACTGAAATAATTATGGCTTGTCTCAGGGCTGTTTAAAAGTTTAAAAAGTTAGTAGACAGAAAAGAACAGCTTTAGAAAGATATATCAGGTCCCTTAATATTTTCAAGAAAAAGCACAGGGTAACTAAATGGAAATAAAGGGATAACATTCATTGGAGAGGTGCTTGTTTCTGCCCTTATCCTGATTAGAGGGGGGCAAATAACTGAAAAAAAAAACCAGATGTTATAAGAAATCCCCAGGCTGAGAGTTTATGAGCAATATCCCAAGTAAAAATGTGTTAAAATCCCAAGTAAAAATGCAACACTATTTATAAATTAAGAAAGCAGACAAAGAGTGGCCACGTTCTAACACATATGAGAAAGAGAACCCATCCCACCCCCTTCAACAAGTCCAGCAACACAGAAGAAAGTGCCTACATAGCTGGGCCAGAACTAATCTTATGTCACAAGTATGGTATGAAGAGTTTGTGCCAGTAAAGATATCCACATTCAGATATTAAAACATAATGAATAAAAGATGAATCTACTGAATGTTGAACCATATTATTTTATGGAAACAAATCAACAACAGTTTTAGAATTTCTTTGCCCTTTACATTAAACAAAATATTTTAACCACAAACTTAATGTATCAGAAAAAGGGTTATTTTTCTGTCTATGTAGTTGAATTTAATTTAGTTAACCACATATTTACAGCCAATTCTATTATTGAGTATTTATTATCTTCTTCAAAGTCAATGGAAGTTTGCATTAACATCTCTTAGGACTTCAAAACAACAAATACATGCAGAAGAAAAAACAAACCACAAGAAGCACAGACAAAATGTAGAAATTCAGAGTACAATCAAATCTATAATTAGAAGAAGGAACTTGGAGCTGGCAGTCTGGGGGCAATGAGTTATAAGCCAATGAAGGAATCTGAGTTCTAGACTCATCTCATTTCCATGGCCAGCAGAGAAAGATTGAGAGAAATGCTCATACTATTTGCTTCAGTTAAGCATTAAG